TTTTTGGACTGGTGCGATTCCACCGGTTCGATCGAGTCCTGACATGTTGGCATGAGAACCAACCTCTTTTCCCGAAGGCCTTGAGCCTACGGCTCGCCCAAGCAAAAAGGGTTTGCTGCTGAGCGCGGCAACGGTTTTTGTCCGGCTTGCCCATAAGCTGGGCATCTTGTGTTTTCGTTCGAAGCCATCTACATCCTAGTGTTTGTGATTGGCATCACCCACTACCCATAGGGGGTTTAGCACTCCTGCTACCGCAAGTCTCTATAGTTTCAGAAACGCAAGTTTCTGAATCGTAGTTTCTGAATCGTCTTCTGTTCCCTTGGAATTGCCCAACTCCTCTCGCCGACAAGTGGGAGTGATCCTTTGAGGTTGCAGGTCTTAGGAGAAAATATGCTCAAATGGAGATGGGTCGCTAGTCTCCACCTGCACCACCTCCACCCACCAAAACAAACATGAAGGTTGCAACCAAGGAAAATAATGCTTTCCAATAGCTTTTGGAAGACTTCATGCTTTCACCAGCCAAGTATCTCTCACCTTGTGTGATGAGGATCTTGTAGGTCTCTTCTTTAGGATTGCAGCGGAGGCCCGGGTAGCAGCACGCATCCGGTGTGTTCCGAGGTCTGCCAGCGAAGACTTGTTTGAGCGCCTGGAGCCCAACGAGAAAGCCAGGCAAAAGCTCTGCTAAGCTACCGGGACCAACCTACTAGCGATGGCCTCCAACTAGGACCATGGAGCGCCCACGGCTACCTATCCCAGCCGACACATGGCCGACGAAGTCGCGAAGACGCTGACTGACAGGTGCGATGGCAAGGCTTCTTCGGCACCATTGATGTACTGCTCTTGACCGAACCACCAGTGGCTTTACGAAGGATTAATTTTAGACTACTACACCAGGTCAACAAATATGTTGAGTGTTTGAAGGTCAGGGTATCTGTCCAGCAACTCTTTTGGGGGTGCTTCTCGGTCTCGAATGGATTTGCTGTGGTCTCGGGTGTTCTGGTCCATTTGAAGCTCCGAGAAAGCAGAACTCTGTCCGGCCTTGGAACTGAGGTTCTTGCGGCCTTGCAGGAAATTACCTCGGGGCGAAGTCGATGGTCTCCACGAAGAATCGACGAACTGGTGGGAAACCTCTGTATGTGTGAGAGAAAACTCGTCCTTGATAGAAAAATGTATAAAAAAGATAGAACATGTCCTCAGTATGCTCTCACGATCCCACCAGTACCACACTACTGAATCTCAATTTATGAACCATGCCAACGGATCTATGTTCTTAGACCCACTTAGAAAGGATACTTATCATCTGAATCACCACCATTGATATGCTCTGCTCTTTCTTCAAGAGAACTCCAACTTGTCAAAGCCCTGAACAAGAATAACTCAGGGTGAAAAACCAAGTGTCCAATCCTGACGCTAACAGAACATGTCTTTCCAAAGAGATCTCTTTTCCTCTGAAGCTCCAGTTTCCCAAGAAAATGCCCTGAGAACGGGCCCAGCAGCTTTTGAACAGCACCACCACCCCGAGCACACCAGACGCAGCCATCAACACCCAACGTGGAGGGCGACGACAGCGCAAGCACCGGCGCTCCGCACATGTAGCGTCCATGAATGAGCCGAATGAATTCGCCATGAACAGGGAGTGCAGCTGTACAAAAAGTAGATCAGATCCTCGAAAATCCTGTGGATCAGGTTTCTTGGGTGCAGGGTCTTCGCTGAGGTGCGCTGCCTGCACCGGTGAAAAAGAGGTAGCTGATATGCACAAACGATTTCAGCGACTTTCCGCTTAAGGGGACTTGGAGCCAGGAAACATCTTGAGCTTTTGAACACATTTGGTCACTGAACTTTAGAGTGGAGGTGGGACCTGACATCGTTCGTGGCAAAAGTCCGCTGATGTCTTCTTTACAGCTTTGAACTCAGCCAAATCTAGGGAGGTCTCTGCAGCGGGTTTTTATGCACTATGGGAGCTCCAGGCGAAGTGCTCTGGGCAGGTCGCCACGCAGCGCCTTGATACTCCACATGGTTCGTTCGAAAGAGCCGGTCCGGGCTTTGCGGGTCAATCCTGCTATCAGCAATCCATGTGCTTGTGGATGTGTGTCCTTGATGCATCAATGGCTGCAGTCGTGACCTGTGCTTTTCTGATTGAAAAAAGAAACGGTCCAGAGGGCTCGAAATTGGCAGGAAAAAGGCGTGTTCTCAGTGTCTCGGCTAGACATCTTTAATAGACTTCTTTGGTGCCAAATGGGAGCACATGAGGATTTGACAAGATCTATTGTGGTGTAGGTCGGCCCCTTGGCTCCTTTAGCCTGTAAAGGGCAAGGGGGGCTATCTCCAATGAGCATCCCCAGCTGAGACCTCCCAAGTCATCGCCCCGAAAGAAGGAAAATAGACCAGTCAGTCTACCTTTTATTTTTTGTCTCCCTATTAAAATACACACCCACACCCACATGGGCTCACATGAACGACTGCCAAGGATCTTTGATAGAGCCGCTCCGCCGCATGGTGTGCCTTGTCTTCAAAGGCCTTCAAGAAATCATTCCTGAAAGAGACGTTCTTCGGCCAGAGGGAGAAAGAACACTTGCATGTTGAGGAGACCACCAGACTGTCAGGGGTAGTTTGTCGGCGCGACAGACGATATCTGCAAGTGCGTGCACATGCTCAATGCACTGAAGTGTGTCCTCCCACCCCTGGCCGTCATGAATTGTTCGAAAGGCGCTTTCGCGCAGGGCCGGAATCCCAAGAAAACCGAACGATCGGCTCGGGAGAGATATCTGCATCAGCCTTGGGATTGTGAAGGAACATCACTGGCGCTCTCGTCCATCAACAGTAGCTGGGAAAATGCACCAGATTCCCTTCATGTCCCAGCAGCCCAAACCACCTCGTCCAAAAAACAATTCCGACCGTCGCTGGCATCCTCTTCCCAGCCGACGGTGTCGGCAGTTAAATTGGACCGTCAAGTCGCACGAAGGTATCGGAGGAATTCAAACCCTCCTCGGAGCAGTGCCGGCTGGAGAATCATTTCTCTGATTCTGGGCAGCTTGTGATGCAAAAAACATCGGTTCTTTTCTATGTCCGGACTGGCGATGCGACATTGAATATGTATTTGTTTAATTAGGTATTCATATATAAGTATATAATGTAACCTTATGAGACTCTGAGTGATCTCTATTTTGGACCACCAGCCGACCAGCCACCCAAAATATGGTTTTCTCCTATCAAAACAGGGGTCAAATAACTTCTGGGTGTATGAAATGAGCCGTAATTGGGGTTTACACCAACGGTTTAATGGTCGGTACCCTCCTCCGTTCCTGACATACGAATGCACAAGGGGTGCTGGAACATGATTCTCCGGTTGAGCGAGGGAGGAAACATCCAACGAATCCACCACTCAGACTCACTAACATGGAAGTGGACAATCCCCTGCTCGCAAAGTAGTCTTCCAAGGGACCATTTTTCACTTCCATGTTTGTGTGTGTCAGAGTGTAACACCAGCCCTGCGAATGGACCCTCGCAAATCTACGAGTGGGACGGGTTGGGGCCTATGGTGCAAGAAATTTAGAGATTGGAAGGGTGGGGGAAAAAACAACATGAAAACACCTTCGGTTCTCCCGCACCTCTGGTACGGTTCGTCGGAGATCATGGTGTTGGGGAGACCTTTCGCTCAGTAGCTCCAGCGTCTAGGTTTTCGGCAACCGCTTAAGTTGGTGGGGATGCTCAACAAGTGCGGTTGAAGGGGAGCAAAACCATCAAAAAATGTCATCCAAACATGGCCTCGGGTCTGCAACCCCATCCCAAAAGCTGATTTGGTGGGTGACCAGCTGCATCTTGCTGAATCTTGCTTGTAGGAAGGGTGCACGTGACGTGAAGTTCCGGCACGGGGGCAAAGCCCCTCCCTTCGCCCAGTTCTTGAAAGGCCGAGGGTCCGAAGCGGCAGACATGACCTCGGAGTCCAGATGGTTCTTCGGAGTCTGCAGAAACTGTCGAGTCAGAGTCAGATGGTGGTGTGGTGGTCTGTTTGAAGGTCCATTCATCTAGGCTTGTTGAGGTGGGTCAAGAAGCTCCAAGAACTCCAAAATGTGTTCATTCAAGGTGAAGGGTTGCCACACTTTGTTCATCTGGAGAACGCAGAATCGCCCAAAGCGGAGAGTGATTGAATGTTTGTCCCTTTTCACTTGCTCAGCTCATCCGTTGGTCTTAGTCTTGGCCATGTAGTAGTGTCTCTTGATGTGCTCTGACCGGGGCTGGGAAAGGACTAGGAGCGCCTAGGGCCGCTACGAACGGGGCGCGCCGGCCTGACCGCGACCAACAACTCCGGAAAGCGAAATCCCACCAGGTCCGGAAGGCCCGGGTTTGTTGGCCGTGGGTGATCGCATTCGGACCAACACCGGGCCGACCCTTCTCGTGGGTCTGAGCGGAAGAGTTCTGGCACCACAGAAGCCAAGTGAAAAACATTAAGAAAGACCACGAATCCCCTGAAGACTCTGCGATTGTGCGGGTCGCCCACATCGCTTCTACAAGAACCTGTAAGATCCATCTCAGGTGTGCGACTGGAATTCGATTCCGTCCAGGAAGCAAGCGGCAATCAGGATTCTGAAAACGGCACGTAGCATACTATAGAAACGATGGATTCCAACTGGAGGGGTGCTTGACTGTCTCGTGCAGGAAAACCGCTGTCCATCAATCCGTGTGAGTGCATTTGGAAGGGACTCTCTATCAATCTGATGAAACATGACGAAGTGCTGCAATCGTATGTGATTCACACTGCCGGATCCACAGACCTCCTTCAGAAGGAGGCTTCAGGTTGGTCTGGAGGGTCCGACGAGCAAGTTAGTTCCGAGCAAGTCAGCTCCTACCTTCTGAGGAATGCATTGGGTATGCGGTATGGGTCTTCTCTGGTGGTTTCTGTGTCTTGTGGGTACTTCGTCTGACCGGGGCCGCGAGCTGCTGCAAAAAGCGTCTTAAAGTTCCTCACTAACGAAGCAACTGTGGCACCTCTTCAGATACCTTCTTTCGGGTCAAATCCATGCCGTATAGTGCAGACTGCCCACATAACTCAATACACGGGTCACATGGCTGGACAGCCCATCACCCCAAAACGGAGGGTCAAGGTATAGCCCTAGCCTGCAAGGTTGACCTGGTTGTGTAGTCAAGAATCCTTTTTAAAACAGAAAACCATGGTTATTTGGTACAAACCATTCCTAAATCAATGGTACGTTGGAATCCCACCAAACCAGAATGGTCTGTGTGTACGTCGGAAACGGTCCCCGTCTGCCAGTCTCGGTCCATGGCACGGAGGACATGGGTTCCGATGAGGCAGAGGCGTCAGTCCTCAGAACGAACACAATCTCGTGTTTCGCTTTGGAATCAGAAACAAGTGCCACGCTAGTAGCAACAGGTGCCTTACTAGTAGTAACAAGAAGCTAGTAGTAACAAGTTGTCAAGGATCCAGGTTTGCCATTCGTTGTCATGGTTTGCCGTTTGCTGACGTGTTTTGTGGCCTGGTCTTTGGCAAGTTCCGATGACACTTTAGATCGACCTACAGGCATATGACACCCACTAGGCCTTCTCTCGCTGGATGGGCTACAACACCCTGCCCCAGCTGCCACACGCATAGTATGGCCCCGCAGCCTTCAATGGGTGTGTGCATCCAACCCGCAAACGGCAATCTTGCCAATTCATCAAACCGAATGGTCATTATTACATGTCCCAAATGCCCCCGAAAAAAGAAAGGAGGATTCACTACACTTTTGTTGGCTCTTTGGAACAAAGCTTTGCTTCCTTTTGCCTATGTTCAAACCCTTCAACCATCAAGGCCCGCTTCGGGATGAAGCAGGGCTTTCATCCCCCAAAATCCTCCCCAACCAACACCAAGTGGCTGCGTGCTCCGGCGAATGCCCAGCTGCATAGCTTCCGCTGTGGTAGGCTTCCTCGGATTAAACATCACATTCTGGTTGGTGGTTTCAACTCACGAACAAAAATATGTACACTCTGTGGGTTCAATCATCAAGTCAAGGTTGTAATTAAGCTTTTCCGAAACCACCACCTGGAATTTGATAGTGCTGCTAGAGAAGCATAGGAAGACGCCCTGGCAGATTTGTTCCTCTATGGCATGAGCGCGGTCCAGCTACCCGCTTATATAGGTTAGTGATCCGAATCCCTGCTGCCATGAGGCATGAGGCACCCCTTCACACGAAACAGGGTGCGTGTTTGCACCCAGGGAAAAAGAAGTGCACCCCGCCCACAAAGCATTTAGGACTCAATCTTCCCGCTGGTTGATGAGTTCTTATTCGGCATGGGATACCATGGGTGATCTGCGATCAACCACCGAGTCATGATGCGGAGCAAAGCCGAGCAAAGCTTTCACCTCTCTGGGCAATGAGACTTTGGTCAGTTCCAAAGGAATGGGTCTTGAGCCCCTCAATGAGTGGATGCGAAAAAAATAATCGCTCAAGTTGCCCAAGTTAGGCGTACGAACTGCAACTTGAGCGATGGATCGCACCGAACCTCTTTCGGTCTCATCCGGTCGACCTCTTCGAAGGCACCTAACTCATATCAACAAAAAAATATTATAACAATAAACAATAATGATAATAGTAAAAGTACATTTACATTATATCACTCTGCACCCTTGTCACTCACACCATGCGAAGGAAGCCTCCCCGGTCGACCCGTCGGCTCCAAGCATCGCGCACTCGCCCTCGGGGCTGGCCGCCGGGATCGGCCGGAGGGCGTGCTGCAAGCCGCGCGGCTCCTGCCGGGAAGCAAAACCCAAAGGGCGGAACATGTGGACAAATCGACCAACAATAGGAAGCCTACCAACGGCACAAAGGGCATCGCTACGAACGGAGCGAAAGGACGCTACGAACGTAGCTCCTGGCATCGCTACTAGTAACAAGAACGCTACTAGTGGGATGAAGAGTCTGCGGAGCCCAGTAAACACAAGGCCGTGAGCAGCTGAGATGCGGCCGTTGGAACCAGGTGACAAACAGTCGTGGATGTCCAGTGACACCTATAAGGGGACTGAGGGAGAAAGAGAAGTTTCATCGTACTGGATCATTGTGTCACTATGGTAGGCCTCGCGAACATTCGAAAACCCTTTAGCTTGAAAGGAACAGTTGCCAGAAACTTGAGCGCATGTAGCATGCTACGTGTTTCTCTGAATGTTCATGAATGGACTTGGAAGCTGATCAAACCATGTTGGAGCTCTGAACATCCATTCACCAGCTGGTGTACGGGCTCAGCTGAGTCAGCTGGAGCCCGAGCCGACCGATGTACAGCGCTCGGTGAAGACGCTCGGTGTAAACACGGTGGGAGATCGGGAACGCGACGTGCAGCTGGAGACCTACCAAGCCAATGCGGTGCTGCACTGTGCTGTGCCGAGTTCCAATGTCCGTCATCAGAATTGGCAATTCTGATAACGTTGTTGTCACTCTGCAAGTCATAGGTGTAAATCATAGACAAACAAAGGTCAACACCGCAAGCCATTGGCAAAAAGTGGTTGCTTGGGGCACACACCAGAGAGTTGGAAAAAGGATGAAAAAGATAGGTATAGAGTATAGAATAATGCATTCACAATTGCGTATTACTCTTGATATGAGCGTGTTTGTATGACTTGTATCATGGAAAAGTGTAAGTTCGTGTCGAACGAACTTGGTTATCGGTATGTGTGAAACAATTCCAATGCACATAGGCGATATGAACTCTTGCTTTCACCCTAGCGGGGACAGACTGTAGATGCCTTTGGGGCAAAGTGCATTTTTTTGAAGCGGGCCGCATTACACCAACAGCATCACAATAGGCAAGTGCTAAGAGATGTTGGATACCCATGGCGGTGCAAGCTGCCTGTAGTGGTGTGTGATGGCCGTTGAGCGGATTGATTGAATCCAGAATTGTGGCAAAGAGTTATGCAAGATCAATGTCTTGATAGGTGCAAATGTACCACCAGCGTATAGACAACTAAGTATATGAGTGATCGAACATGTTTGAACCCTTGGCGCATGTGATGTTTTTTTCAGAAATTAGTGTTGCCTTGATGTATGTTTCATGCGTTTCCCAGAGCGTCAAATGAACAAGAACTGGCCGTCATCCAAAGCATGGCCTGGCCCCTGGGTCACCAACAAGTTTGGAACGAATTGGTCCTCGCTTTCTTCGTTGTTTTCAGCTGGTCAGCTTGGAGGTCCAGGTCCCCGACGAGTCATTTTCCAAGCAGAGCCAGGAGGCACGAAGATCAGTTGACCCAAAAAGTCCCCAGTCTCCGCTGATTCCACCAGACGTTTCGCCCCGTTTTCGGTGGCCAGTCCAGTGGGACGCCCCGTGCCACAGTCTTCAGCAAGGCAGTCCTGAGGTCCAAGGGGGGGGGGTTCTGTGGAGACGTCGTACTTCTTCGAATTGGTTCTTCTGTGAAGAAAACGATCTGGTTTTGGAAAGCCATAGTTTGGAGTGAAAACCAAACTTCCCTTGAACATCTTGAACCAATCCACATAACGGTGGGAGGTGCACCGTTTTCTGTTTTCAGACTCCAAGGGGGTGACCGGTCGAAGACGGAACTGCGTCGGTTGGCCGAGAGGACCGTAGCGATGGCGATGGCCACCAACCGTCAGAAGTGGTGGACTCCAATCTAATAGTAATGGCCTCCAACCTAAAGGCGGTGCAGGAAGAAATTCCCAGTCAGTTTCTGAACCCGTGGTTCTAGTTTCTGATTCCTAGTTTCTGAAGCGGGGCCAGTTTCTGAACTTGACTTTGTTCACCCTGCAGTAGTGTTGGTTGAAAGGAATGTTGCTGATCCTCATGTAATAGGAGTAGAGGAGCATTCTGGGCCCTGAGCTCTTCTCCCAACCTGCGCCGCCCCTGTTGTGCTTTGAAGCCACTGGCTATGCTGGCCGTCTCCATCATCAGTTTTTGGGATTTGGAGGAGTTCCCATTGTTCCCATGCCCGGAATCATCTGACCGCTGCTGATCTTTGTACTCGCAAGCTGCAAACCAACCCAGTAGGAAATCGCTCGGTTTGCTTCCGGAAGGATCCTTCCGCCTCCGGCAGATAGAGCAGCGCTAGCAGCTAGTGGCAGCTGGTAAGTCTTTAACACCAGCAACATTCTGCATGTCCAACAGCAACTTCTTGGATGTTGAGGGGTCTCTGATTGACCACCCTTTCATCTTTGGCTCCATCCTCAGCACCCCATAGCCCCCCGGCGGTGTTTCTCGTCCCACCCCTGCCCTGCCCCCAACGGATACAAAATGATGCAAAGGGGCTGACGTTCAAAGTGGCCATGGATCACGGATTTCAGCTTCTCGAGCTCTTCGAGCACCTGGAGTCAAGAGTCCACCGGAGTCGGCGTTTCTCGTGCTGATGCCGTGGCGCAATAAAAGGCCGTGTTGGTGGATGGTTCGCCATCTGCAGAGTGGAGGTTTGGTTGTAAGGATTTGCATGTGCCAGTGGAAGGCAGTAAAAGGCCCAGCCAAATGAACCTGTTGAAATGTTCCTTGGAGATCCCAGTTCGAGCACTTCGGAACCGACCATCACCGGTCTCCCGTGGGCATTTTGGGCTTTTGGACTCGCTCTCGCTCAAAAGGGACACAGGGAGACCTCCGCGATCACCCCAACTCCAGCAAGCATTCGGGACCCAAAAATGGGAAGGATGGCACTGCCACGGATGGCCTAAAGATTCTTACAGGGTAGGACTTGTTATGGTCTCCACTGGAGCCAGGAAACATCTTGATTTAGAAACCTTTGGTCGCTGAACTGCCATGGGTCCAAGGATTCAGCTGTGAGGTTCCACCGTTCCTCCACCGAAATCGAGTCAGACCCACTCGGCACCACCGGAGTTCGGCCTTCTCCTCCATGGTCAAGGCTGACTCCTGACCGCCGCAGGTACGGCCACCGAGTGCTGAGGAGCACCACCGACCAGTCGACCCACCGGAAAAAGCTGTATAAAATGACGAGTATTCGTGGTCTCCATCCATGTATGCGTCTATATATATAATATATATATATATAATACATTCATATATCAGACCATCCATGGGAGTTGCAAAGGGGTCAATGTAGGCATGAATTTCAGACATAAGTGGTATGAAATGGTGTTCAAGAAAGCTCTTGCTTTTCACGGAGAACTCTTCTGGCATCTACTGAGGGGTTTTATTTGGTATTTACCTTCAAGGATGTTGTTCTCCCTTTGGGCAGCACGTTTCAATCCGGAATCCCGCACGACGTCTGTGCGCTTGGCGCCGATCACTCGGACGGTCTCCTGGTCGCTCGGTGTCCCGCCGCTCGGTGACCGCTGCGCAGCGCACTCACTGCAGCTCTCCATCAGCCGCGTCGCGTCGCGTGGGGCGTCGCTGAGGTCCATTCGCGTCGCGGGAGGTTGGCGCGGACGACGGTCACCCCCTCCACGACTTCTTCCACCCCCGGAAACCCAGGACCAGAAAACCGACGGTCACAGGGGTTCCGTCCGTGTGACGGTCCCACGGTCACGGACAAAACGGACCCGGAGCCACGCCATCGACGACACCGTCGTATAAGGCCGCTAGCGGTATAAAATCTCTAAGCAAAACAACGGTTGTTCGGTATAACACATTAATTGAAAGGTGGTTGGAATTCCAGGGACCAGTTTTGGTCCCTGGTGGTGACAACTGAAGGGGAAGGAAAAGCGGTCAAAGGCCGGTGGCGATCGCAAATCCATGAACCACGTCAGACCGTGAGGAACTTAGTAGGTCTTCCACGCCACTCGGCGACTGCAGTGGTTTCAGCGTAGATTGCAAAATCCCCAAAGGTGGTTTTAATGGAACCCCCAACTGAAGAACATCTGTGCCATCTACTCTCAAACCACTGTACACTTCAAAAATAGAAAAGGTGAAAAAGTGGAGCACAAACTGAGACCTCTGGATTGAACGGAATATGGCCTACCACCGGATCCACCTGGACCTTCCTGTCGAGACTCTCTGGTGTCCCCCATTCGGTCTTCCACAAGTCAGGTGATGAATGGAGGGTGCTGGGAATGCTACTGGTTAGGTGATGAATGCTACTTTGGGTACAATACCTTGCTCACCATCGTTCTCAAGCATGACCATCGTCCTCACTCCGCTCGCTGCCGCTCGCGGCCTCGATGGCTTCGGTCTGAGGCTCTTCCTCTCTATCCGTGTCCAAGGGCGGAGGCAGGTGCTCCGGCCTCAGGTGGATTCAGCAGGTGTGGATTCCCCGCACCCATCGGACCATCTTTTTGTCTGGGCGAAACCCAGTTTGGGGGGAAAGAAACACTGCGATGCCTTCCTGTGCATCGCATGGTGAGTTGTTGACCTGTCGGGGTCTGTGCGGAAATTGATGTTCCGAATCACTGGAAACGAAAGGGCCACTGTGGTTGAATAGGGAGACCCCCAACCAATGGATTTTGGTCTATATATGTCTGCTCTTCCAGGGGATCTTCGGGGGGTCTCCCTATTCTAATACACTACGCAACCCATTCATTCCGACCGAATGGCATCCGCTATTCAGTGGATCCCATTGATAGATGCACCTTCCAACGTCACTTCATCTTCCATGCCCAGTTCCATCTCCCTTTCGTTTCACCTTCTCCCAGTTTCGTTTCACGGTACCTGTTCGTTGAGAGTCTCCCAGGCGGATTCGAGTTGGCTCTAGGATTGAAATGGGCGTGTAGCTCAAATAGGGAGACCTCGCAGTTCGACCCCCCTGGAAGAAGGAAAATACACACCCAAAATCAATCAAATAGCTTTTTAAGCTCCGTGATGACCTATTACTCATTCGTGGTATTCTTCCACTGTTGGAACCTGGAAAGTGGCGTTTCTCCCTGAGCAACCGACCTGGCGCCATAAAACCTGCGCAGAGGGCCTCGGCAGAAATCCCCTTCGCATTCTCCTCCGGGCGACGGCAAGACGTCTGAGGAGGAGGAGGCTGGCAACGTTCCTGGTGCCTGGCGAGAAGAACAGCGATGGAGTGGACGGACTGATGTGGGTGAGGCGGTCCTTTTCTTAGGGAGATGCAACGACCCCCCAAAACCATCCAAAAACCCCCTACCGATACACACCCATGTATAGGAGAAACTTGGAGAAACCCTCCTGTCATGAAGAAGAAAACAGATTGGCATGTTCGTTCTTCATAGCCGAAATCACCCGCTAGCATTTGCCTGCGCCACTAGATATGGCCGCAATGAGCCCGACATAGGCTGGGTTGACATGTTTCATCTGTTGATGATGCAAGAAATGCTGCAAGTGGCAAAGCATGCCCTTGCATGGTAGCCTTTGTGGATAAAACTTGTTTGTATCGTGCTCATGAGTTTCAACAACAAGTTTTGGTGTGGGCGGTCTCCTTTGCACTTTGTGATGCGAGAGACGGAGGGGATGTTCGACCTTCAGTCGCAAGTCCCTGCATCGGGATAAACAGAATGCCTGTCTGAGTCTGACCATTCCAAAAACATGCTGTTCACAAAAAACAAGACAAACAAAAACCACCAGCACCACACTGTTGACCATCCAATCACCACCCTTTGTGGTGCTGGAACATACTTGTCATGATCTGAAGAAATCCGATCCAACCGTCGCAACTGACTTGGCCTCGGCAAGGCTTTCCTCTTCGTGCATGGCCTCCTAGTGCTGGTGGCCGGTTGTGGCAAGCCAGGGGCCCAGAGCAGTAGTCAATGGAAAAGGATCACCGGTTGAGGAAACTCGATGGTCATCAAATCACAAAAATACCTGCAGGTTTGGTGCGTTGAAGATGTGCCCGAAAACTCCCACGGCTGAAGTGGTACGGGCACTCTTAATACGCCTTGCTGAATTCAGCCTTCCCATGCGATGTTCCATCATTTTGAGTGACATGGAGGTGACAATCTAACCCCATCTTCCGTGACAACCATCAAGGCGTTGTTCATGTAGGGCCTCCATTCCAAAAAGTTGGGTGCATCAAATGAGCACGACCGTCTTTCAGGGATCCTCGTAACAAGACTGGGTGTTCAAAAGATGTAGAAGTTCTTGAGTCCTTCCTATGCCAGGGAAAAAAGTGAGACTCTGACTAGATGGTGAGTTCTTCGCTACTAGTAACAATGTTCGCTACTAGGGGCTCCTGGCATCGCTACTAGGAACAAGGACGCTACTAGGGGCTCGCTACTAGTGTCGCCGGTCAGTGGCCCATCCGCCAGTCAGACTGGTTGAGCCGTTTGACACGTCGCGTCGAGTCTAAAACGGCGGGGAGCTGCGTCAACTCGGTCGACCCGAGACGGAAAGCGGTTGGTTACAACAGACGGATGACCCACATCCATTCTTCCCCTTGAAAATGGATGATCAAACCTCCAGAAACCTGGGCAGTTCTGTTATTGCAAAACAACACCAGAACTGAAAGATGGTCTCCTCTAATCTGACTGGTGCTTAGCAAGGAATGAGGGAATGGATCCAAAGGAATCTATAGTGGAGGGTTCATTCCTTCATTCTCTACTTTCATCACACCAGGCAGTAATCCTTGAACCCAAGACAATCATTCCCGTGCGGCCGAGGTGCCTCGGCTGCTGCCTTTGCAGCTTCAGCCTGTGGATGGACCTTGGGTGTACGGGGACTGGGCAGTGGGGACACCGCAGGGTGGGACACCGTCGGACATGACCAGCTGGGACGCGCGTCGACTGGGACACCGTCGATGTGATACGACTCACGCAGCTTACGATTGTAAGTGGAGAAAGAAGTAATAGCTTCTTGTTACTACTAGTAAGGCACTTGTTACTAATAGCTTCTTGTTTCTAATTGAGTCTTCAGCTCCTTTGAACGAATTCCTATTTCACAGCTTGACTTGGTCGGACCCAATGTTGTTTGGTTGGATGGATCTTTTTGGGGGCTCAAGACGGGGGACTGTATTTCTATAGTGCCGTTGGCCGCTTGAAGTTCCGGTGTCTCAGGTTCCCGTGTGCCAAAACATGACGGGACGGACTGGCGCGGGAACCGGTGGGGAGATCGAAACCCCTGGTGTTCCTTTCGGCACAAAACCATCAAAAGCCACATTCACATTGAGTCGGAGCTAGTACGCACGGAACTGATCACCAGTTGAGACTTTGATGTTCACTCTGCGACCCAGTTGATACCTGGGTGAGAAGTTGATACCTGGCCGTTGCAAAGCAAATCGGATAAAGAGGGAGGTTCCCCTTCCACAACTTGATTCTGCTCGTTCTTCCAAACATACCAGTCCCTTTCTGAGACAGAGCCATGCCAGGAGCCAACTCATTCTGCGCGCAAACTCCCCGAGCCGATCGTTTTTTTTCATTTTCCATGCGGAAGCTTGGGGTTGCCAGCAGCTGGTCACTCCTGGCAGCAGCTGGTCACTTCAAGTCTTTCCTAGCGAAGCCTGAGTGCTTTTCCTGAAAAACCTCGGGCGTCTCCCTACACCGGATTGTCTGTGAGTCATATTCAAGTGTGTACATACGCACCTATAGACCCTGAGTGACCTCAATTTCGGACGACCAACCACCAATCATCCAAAATATATTGCTGTCCTATCAAAACAGAGGTCATGCCTGGTCGACCCGGTGTGCTTGGTGAAGAAGTCGATTGAGTCGATCGAAAAAGGTCGGTCGAAACATGCAACTCCTGTTCTCACGGAGTTTGTGGCTATTGGAAGGAAAAGAACATGAAGACATGGGAGGTCGATCTGGGAATACCCGAACTCTGTGGCCACAGTCCCAGTTCTCTTGGAACTCCTGCCAACTTTGGGGAACAAAACGTTCATGCCTCTGCAAAGGCGACTGTGAGGTCGCTGTTTCATGCGGGTCACGCGCAGGACCGACCGGGGACCGACCGATCGGGCTCCAAGGATCACGGACCGCATTCAAATGGCGGACTACACGTGGAGGGCTCAGCCCAATGCCAGATGTTGAAAATGACAGGAATGAGGCAACCAGCCTTCAAGGACCCTCATGTGGACCATGTCCAATCACATTGATCTACATCTATGCCATGCCCTTGAACCCTCCCCATCTCTCTTCTCATCCAGAAGCCTGCAACTGCCCCAGCCGACGCTCGAGCGTACGTCTCCCATCGCACGAATGGCACCTGCCCATCGGCCACAGCGCCATTCTCTGCCGGCGCGATGGGCTTCTGCGCGCGAGGCTGCGCGCGAGGCCCCGCGCAAGGCAATTTCTGTGAGGCCACATTAAGAATGAGCAGAAACCGACACAAGCCTGGCAACCTGCATGTTGGACCAGTAGTGCTCGATGGCACGCAAGTGTTGTGATTTCTCGCTGAAACGACATTTTGAAACATGCCTTCTCCGGCATTCGGAAATGTGGAAAGCAAAGCAAAAGCACTTAAAGCACAGGCAGCTGAGCGACCAATCCTTATAAGAATACCATTC